ACATACATACATACATACATACATACATACATACAAAAGAATAAGTACTTATTTTATTCATAAAATAAACTAAGGTTTATGGCACTGAACTTTATGGACCACTACCTTAATTTCTTTTCCTGAGAACTCTGAAGCTTAATTATCAGGAATAAAAGTTTGAGAAAGGAGGGCTGCCAGAAAATATCCAAGACACTGCAGATAATTTCATGTGCCTCTCATAAAAAAATTATATTCAACCACAATCCACACACAAAAGAATAATGGATAGGCCATGTTCTAGTAATGAAAACTATTTGTAAAAATTATAATCACATCCAACATTATAACAATGGTCTCCAAACCCCTGGAAAAATTTCCGGAGGAAGAATTTTAGAAGTTGTAATTTATAGTTGGATATTTGGAGCAAGATAGGATTCATAAGTTATAACAAACAATATATCATTTTTTTCTATTTCACTGTTGGCTCATCCATAATATTTTATTATGAACTTACCTTGGTTAAATCAATAAATCTATTTTTCAGGAACGGTAGATATTCTATAGCTCTTATTTGCTGAATCAGTTCATTTTTTTTTTTAAATTTCTCTTCTTCATCTTTTAAAGCCTGAAGTAGTGCGTCCTGGCTTTTTTTAGATACTTCTTGAACTAGAAAAGCAGAAAAGGATATAAACTATATTAATATAATGCCAAAGGCAAGTAAATGTAGAAATAATAGACAAATAGAATGATTTTTACCATAAATGAGAATTGGAGGTCTCAGTAAGCAGACGATATTTTTTTCAAAGAGCTCTTGCTACTCTGCAATTTGAATCAGTGGTCAGTGACAACGTCATCAATACAGACCCAAAAATTCAGATCTGTATTCCATTCCATCCCTGCAGATGGCATCTATAGATACCATAAAGGTAGATGATTCTTTAATTGATTAGGAGCATTTAGGGATTCCACAAATTTAAAACTCTACCAGGGAGAAGAGGGAATCCATTTTGTGTAGAATGAAATCTATCCAGAAATCTCTAAGTTCTGGAGTATTCAAGGGATGTTTTCATGGAAATTTTCAGAGGCCTGTAGACTGGTGATGGTAAAGCTATTAAGTGCAATGGGAATCTCTGAAACCAATGAATTTTCTCATCACATTTTGTCTTCTCAGATAGAAGATAGCTGGATGTCACAGAATAGCAGCCAATGGCGGGGAAGGGGGGAGATGAGTAGATTTATCTGTGGATACTCTTTAAAAAATCTATAGATTTTCTCCATTTTTCAATATGAGTCATGGAATTGTAATTTATAATATTTTTACAGGAGGCATATGAGTATAATTTGTGAGTTTAGAACATATCCAAGGAAGAAGAAAAGAATGGGGAAAGAATGAAAGAAAGGGGGGTATTTAAATGCTTTTTGTATAATGCTTTTCTTACTTTTTTCTTAAACTTTTTCTTTCATTACAATATCAAATTACAAAAAAATATTTCCAAAATATTGATTGCAATGTTATCAGTTACTAGTGAGCTTATATTATGCTGTAAGCATCTATATCTAGACCCAGTTTGGTGTAGTGGCTACAAAGCAGGAGATTGTGAGTTCTAATCCTGTGTTAGGCATATGAAGCTGGCTGACTGACCTTGGGCCTCTCAGCCCTAGGAAGAAGGAACTGGCAAGCTACTTCTGAAAAATGCTGCCAAGAAAACTGCAGGGATGGTCACCAGGAGTCAAATAACTTATAGGCACAACTTTTAAGTGTGTATGTGGCATACCATTATACTTTTTGTGTAGAATGAAATCTATCCAGAAATCTCTGGAGTATTCAAAGATGCTTTAATGGAAACTTTCAGAGGCCTGTAGACTGGTGATGGTAAAGCTTTTAAATGCAATGGGAATCTCTGAACCAATGAGTTTTCCCAAATGTTAAGGCATGTCAGAACTTAGAAGGAATTTTGCCTGCTAGGCTTAGGATGTTTAGACCTTCAGCTCCTACAGTACTGACCTCAGCTCCATTGAAGGACTGTGAGTGTTTCAGCTCAAAATACTGGAAAAGAACAATTGCTTGACCCTGTCCTGAAGGTTTCAGAACCAGACAGGCATTTACATTTAAGAAAAAAAAAATGGTAATCAGACAAGGCTAGTGAGAAATTGGACTTTCTCTCAAGGTGCCATTTAAAAAGGGAATGGATTTCTTTTTTAAGTCTCCTCCCTCTCTTCAGAGGAATGGAACACCGTTTGTCTTTTATTCAGCAGGAATAAGTCTGGTCTTCCTCTAAGCCATCTTTCATGTGAGCAAAAAGAATTGGGCTTCAGTAGAGGCAGATCAGCCTATGAAAACCAAGAATGGCACAGGACATAGTAGTCCTTTCAGCAGTTTTTCACTCTGGTTTGGGACAGGATGTTACCCAATTACTGCAATCACCATTGCCATCTCCAGAGCATTGAGAAGTCAGTCCAGTTTTCCGGATCTGACTCATTCAAGCCCTTTCTTTGAGCCAAAACTAGTTGGACCATATGGTTTCAGTACTGATGGTACTGAATTAAGAAAAAGCACTTTCTACACACAGGAAGGAAGCTAAAACTGCTAGCAAACAGACAAATCTTTTCACAGTTACAGGACCACAAATCACTCCAAGTGACAAGGAAATTCAAACAAAACTTGGTCAAGATTCTTTCAAAACCAGCAGCAACAACACTCAAGTCTAGGAGTAAATAAATTTCTAGCCCCAAATTTTACATTGGATGTGTACTTGGATGCCCCAGATGACATTTCAGCATCTGCGCATGCAAACACATATAACACACATGATATATGAAGGGGTGTCACTAGAATGGAAGAGTAAACACTGCCCACTCAATGAACTTCAAACAGAACTTGAAGGCAACGAAGTTCTGCCAAGAGTAGAAGTTTCACCCTTCAGCAGCATTATTCAGTAGCAGCTTTCCTACCATTTTTTCCAGCAGGAAAATACTAATGACTACCATCTCAGACATCTTGTAAGTTTCCTCTGTAGGAAACAACAACTTTAAGCAGGACTGTTAGTTATTATTGTTATGATGATTTTATACGGATGTTTATTAATATAAGATATTTTCTACTAATTATTATAAACAGATTTTTTAACTCCTTACATTCATTTTTCGGACTGAAGCAGCATAAAAGCACTTATAATAAATCAATAATAAACTTACATGTATCATCCAACATTCATATCAGAAATGCATACAATCTGCATATGCTGAGCAATGTTTCTGGTTTTTTCCCCTTACAACTTGGGTGTTTCACCAGTACTCATGGTCAACATAGCTCCTCACTCCATCCCTCATTTTGGGTGTATGGATCAATGTTGTCAAGGACAAAGTATAAAATTCAGCTGTTCTGTATATAGGATCTCCAAAGGAGAAAGAAGAAAGGCAGGCAGCAACCTAATCCTAACCCTATCCAAGGCCAGTACCATCAAGTGCCCTGTGGGAACAGTATTTACAGAGAGGCAAGATATGCTAAACATGTTAAGATCAAAACATCCTGACCCAAAATATTCCATTCCAGAATCAGAATGGGCCCTTCCACTAATATTCTTGTCTTTTCTGGAAGTGTTTTCGAACTTGGAACACTTTTGGTAAGGTTGAAAGAGTCAATTCCAGTCTTTGAATAGTTCATATGATATCAGAACAAGATATTTCAAGGTTGCTTGTTTCAATCTCAAAATTATTTGCACACTTCTAGCAAAAAACCATTACAGCTGCCTGCTCAGCTGGACTGTTCTTCCCACTGCCACTGCACAACACTTTGTCTTTGAGAAGGATTCTTGAAGTTTGCCATTTCTTTTTAAAAATACCTATCAGACTTTTATTAATAATATATATTGCTCAGTAAGCTACTTTGAGAGATCTGCTATCCTTAAGACAAGGCATAAATAATTGTAAAAAATAAATATTGTCCAGCCTATGGTGAACAAGAGAATAGCATTCCTGAGTGCAGCCAAACAGCTTTTCTGTTATGGTAACATGGGTAATGTCCCTTTTCAAACCTCTGCAGAAGCTCCTTTGCCATTCTAGGAATGAATAGCACAATAGAAACAGGTTTAGAGGGTACTGGATGCCGCCTCCAATAGAGGCTGTAAACAATCTTCTTGGGCATCCTAATTAGGAAATAGTAAAGCCTCTTTAGAGTTGGAAAAGCCTCCTGCAGCATCAAGTGGCTGGAACTCTGAGCAGCACTTCAAACCCTTCTCAGGGGCATGAATATATTGATCCATGCAGACCATGTATAGCAAAGTTGGTATCAATAAGCAAAGAGGAATAAAATACCCAAGGAACCTCAAGAGTTTTTCACATAGGCAGGAAGGCAAATTATTGATAAGAGCAACCTGCATGCAGGCATCAAACCAGCATGCAAAATGGGTCAAAATAAGCTTGAGTAGGAGGTATACTTTGCAGTTTTCAAGCAGATCAGCTAACCTTTCACGGCAAGAAGACCAGCATGAAAGGCTTGAGAGGACAAACACGTAAAAGCCTTCTTCGTATCTCAGCAATGCAGTAACTCTTAAGTGGATGCTGTAGGCCAAAAATGGCCAGCAAGTCTCGTGCCTGATTCTACCACTACAGGTAGTCCCCAGTTTAAGAACGAGTTCCATTCCCAAGGTCTGTCCTTAAGTTGAATTTGTATGTAAGGTGGAATAGTATTATTGTATAATATTGTATAAGTAATATTGTGTATTGAACTCGAACCATTGTGTATTTAACTCAAATCATTGTGTATTTAACTTGAATTTTGCTACAACAGGCTCTGTTCTTAGCTATGGGTCGTCCATAAAGTGGGCATTCTTAACCTGGGGACTACCTATATAGATTCAATTATGGGTTATTCAAATGATTTTTAAAAGCTGATCAGCCAACCCACGTGCAATTATATATGTGCCACTCAGAACAGCCAATAGCAGTTTCCAGTTCATGTCAAGATCTCCATTCATTCTCATTAGCAAACCCTTCTCTTTTAAGAATCAATTGCTTATTCTCAGAAAAAATCCTTCCCATGTCACAGCAAAGAGACTCCCTTAAATGAACTTCTTTGCAAATATAGCAGAAAAGGCTTTGTTTGCTTACTTGTGAAATGACATTTGTAATAGTTCCTTTCAAGTTCATGAATGCCCCAGTTGCTAAACAACTTTGTCAAAACTCTACAGATCTGACATTAATAATACCTATTTGCTGTTTGCATTTTTGGAGCTTCATTTGTGCTTGCTTCATGTTTTTACGTCCCTCTGCCACTTGCTGAACCTTTTTTTTCTTTCCTTTCCTTTCCTGAAGGCATCTTTCTGCACACTGGTGACGCATTTCTGCTTTCTAAAATCCAAAAAAAATTCCAAGTTAGCAAATAAATTTATTAAGTTTAATTGGACAAAAAGGTTATTTTAAAATTTCACAATAGTCTTATACAGCTTTCACATTCAAAGGTTAAATGGTGAGAAGGGAAGGTACAAACACAAGTCCACCCCAACCTCTCTGCAAATCTATTGTGGACTGTCTGAAGGCTGGGGGTTGCAGACAAACTCAGTTAAGTGTATTAAAATGTTTTTGACATTAAGATTCTAATTAGCTTTTTTCATTTTTGAATGAAAACCTAAACTTTTCTGGGAGAGTGGTTGATGGTGTTACTTTTTATACCATTCATTTTCCATGTGAGAGCCTGAAAAAAATTCACAGAGATATATACCAAGATAAAAAGAGGACTTTCCCTTCCACACTTCCTTGCCCCAACTAAAAGTACTCATAACTTTCGACTCTTCATTGTTTGATCCTTCATCGTCCTTTTTAAATGCCCCTCTTAGTGTCCAGTTCATTGATTAATTAACTGATATGATTCCATTAATATTCAGCATCTTCTGGGGTGGGGCTCAAAAATAGATAAAGATGAATAATGAATTGGAGAAGTAAAAATTGTATCATTTCTATGGAGGAAAACAATGACAGATTTAGACAAGATTATAAAAGATTCGGATATTTCAAAGCTAACAAATATTAGGATAATTAAAACCATGTAATATATGGCTGTGAAAGCTGAATACTGAGAAAGAATAAGTGGAAGAAGATAAACACCTTTATCTTCTGAGGAGTTGTAAATGGTGACTAAGGTATTGTGGACTGCAAAGGGAACCAATCAGTTCTGGACCAAATAAAAGGCTGCCTGTTTGTCCAAGTAATATCAGCAAGCAGAAACTCATATACTTTGGGCAAGTGATGAGAACAGAAGCTGAACTAGAAAAAATGATATGCTTAGCAAAGTTGAGGGCAGTAGAAGAAAGGGAAAATAATGGATAAGGTGAGTGGATACTGGAATGTCCTTAGAAGAGTGTGGGAAAATACATTTTTTGGGTGAAGAAAGTAAATTTCTAGAGACTTCAGATGAATGGGAGCACCTTAATAAAAGGAAATACACAGTAAAAGAATGTGCAGCACCCTTGAAGCTGTCTAATAAACACTGCAGTGAAGCCTTGATTATTTTGCATTTGAGTCCTGCATTTTGATTCCACAAGAATGTTGTTTAGTCGTTAAGTCGTGTCCG